AGGAAGAGCGAAGCGGCGAAGAAGAGAACGAGAATGGCTATTCTAGGAGTACGCATGGTTGAATATCGTATCGGGTCGTTACTGAGTGAAAGGCAAAAAGAAAGGGGCCAGAGGTCGAGGCTCTGCGTCGTGTGTATGGTATCTAGAAGTGGCGGAGGGTTCGGCGCACGGCGCGGCAGCCGAGGGGGTAATCGAGTCTGGCGATAGTGGCGCCAGAAAGAGTTGTCGACGTTGGATAGGGTGAAGAGGTATCGACCGGCAGCCGGCAGTGGCTCAGCGGCAAACTGCACAGGGGACCAGCATGCGCAAAGTCATTCGGTGACAGAAGGCAAGGAGAGGTCGTCTGTCTGGCTGCTATCGGTGGAAATGTCAAAATGTATGACGAGGCTGAAGTTGAGGTAGAGCAAAGTAGTGGCGAGGAGGGGAGGTGGATGGCACGACAGTTGGTAGGTATCCGTAGGGTCCGTAGGGCCTTTAGTTGGAGGGGTGAAGGGGTTGGGCAGCAGCCTTTCCCACACAAGGACGCACTATCCGGGTCTCTCTTTGGTGTGCCGGCGGGAAGCGTCGGGTCAAGAGACGAGAGAAAATGGGACTGGTATTTCGGTGGTCGGGAAGCAACAGGAGAAAGAAAGTTGAATGACGAGGTGCCGATCAGGTTATTCAGGTTCGGGACCGCAGCAAGGTAAGGTAACCTGATGTAGAGTGAGAGAAGTCAATTTGATTGTGGGCGGCACGGCGGGTTGGGTGTGCACGCAGCGCAGAGCAGAGCAGCAGACGCCATGCAGAGACACCGTCGGATGAGGTAAGGTAAGGTAAGGTAAGGTAGAGTAAGTAAGTAGAGGTGTGGGATGGAACGACTAGAGCAATGGAAGAAAAAAGGACGGATAGACACTCCAAAGGTTTGTGACTTGTGACTCGAGGAAAGAGAAACAATGGAGATGGAAGACTGAACCACAGTGACACACCAGGAGGGTCTGTCCCGTCCGCATTTGGTGGCGGGGCGCGGCGTTGCTGTTTAGGTGCCGGGGCCTCCCGTCTGTCGCTCACTCACTCCTGCTCTCGTGCAATTATCAATGACACACCTCACTCACTACACTAGAACTCACCATACCTCACTTACTCTGCAATGAGAAGGTACTTACCTCAGCCGACTGTCGTTTGGCAATAACTGCACATGAAAGCGTGACCGCCAGCAGGAGTGGTGGTCCCAAAATGGACTCATCCATGCACCATGGGCTCATGGAAATGGAGTCGTCGAGTCGGGGGGTTTGGGGGCCCCTGTCTGGCTGAGAGGTGAAATTCGGACGCATGGCGCATCGGGGCACACCTCACGCGCGTGCACTTTTCAGTTTGATGGCGTGGGCACGCGGGACTGGTCTGGTCAGGAGCCACACATGTAATTCACCTCACAATTGACTTTCACTTTCTTTCACTCTCGCTCTCACTCTCCCTCTCAACAAGGTAGCAGCAATATCACTCACTAAGATCATCAAGTGAGTGGACAATCTGCTCACTCATCTTTTCTAATCAGTCATGAAAAAAAGACTATAAATCATCAACATCGCCATTTACATGCTTCAAGCGTACCCGTATTAATCACCTTTTCTTTCTTCAGGTGATAGTCCATGGTCCACCACGATCCACGGCTGTCAAAAATACACCCCATCCCAGCCACGCTCGCCCGCAGGGTGTGTGTGGCAGGATCGCAGGGGATGGGTCGCAGGGTCGGCCGGCTTTGGCGGCACACGCACAAAGTCTCACTCAAGCTTGGTATCTTGGTATCTTGGTATCCAACCATCGACCTATCGAGGGGTCCTGGGCCCGGCCCCAGAGGGAGGGTAGTTTGTCCTGGATGCTGCTTGTCGTCGCGTGCTCGTCGCTGCTGCACCATTGCTTCAGTAAACTCAACTTTCACGTTCCACCATCTCAACTTTCTCCCCTATTCTCCACATCCGATGCTTCAGGACGGACAGGCGACTCTCACAGGAAAGCACATGAGAGGTAGACCTTGACGCCCAGCCGCGCATGGCGAGATTGAACCACAATCGAAGGAGCTCTAACAATTCGCGATCGTCTCGCAAGCGCCAGAGCCGACTGAGCCCTCTCAGCGTTCAATTCCTTAAGCTGCCCCTACCCCTTTCCCGTTAAGTTTCCATAAGCGTCCAAACACCAACTGGAGCTCAACTTACACTCTCGCGTCGAATACGACAACCCGGGAAATGAGGGTGACGAGTTACCCGTATTCCCGAATGGCCCGCACATCGTACTCAAGGCAGCAGAGTCCAGAGGTCGCTTCGCTCGCCTCTTACACCGTTCCCGAGGGACGAGTGAACGACACCCTAGAAACCGGGCGCAGCAGCTTAGCTCTAAACGCGCGGTATCCCGTACAGGCCCTGCAGATACCGTTACCAAAACACGCACACAAACAAAGAATCTCTCCATCAAGTCGGGGTTGCCAATGACTTCACAGGCCACTGCGCACCAAGAAGGTACGGAGTACACTGACTGACCTGAATCCCCTCGTGACTAAACACCCAACTGAGACGAGGGGAAGCATCTAAACAGTAAATTGCAAAAAGGGGTGTGTGCGTTTGCAGCAGTCCCTTGCTTTTTCTGGATGCCAGAAACGCCCAGACTCGTCTCGGCCTTAGCGGTCCTGAAAGAAACCTAACCCAAATCTCGAAAGTCAAGACAGCGGCGGGGGGCCGACTCGGCGAGGTCATAATCGAGAAGTTGCAAGTGACTTACTTACTGCCGGAGATATCTCATACTGGTCAAGAGAGACAAGCAACAAAGGCAGAAGCGCTTCGTCTCATGCCCGAACGAGGAAACTCGACCTAATCCGGGCTTTGGGAAGTGAAAGAAAAGTAGACACAGACGTGAGTTGATGAGGTAGTCATCATCAACAGCCTTCCGCCGAGTCCAAAGTGCTTGCATGAGCTATCCGTACCTCGTCCCACATATCCCCATCCGCCCTGCAAAGTCGAGCATGTCACCTTGCGGATACAGATCCTCTGCCCAAATTCCCAACCCTCACGTGAGCTTACCCAGCATCGTGAACCTCTTCCACCTAATCTCCATCCAGTCCTCACCCACAACGAACCGTGCGTCGTCCGTTGAGTTCATACCGCACGCGAATAACCTTACCTTACTTTAGTCTACGCGTCTACCTGCCGTGCTACCTAAAGCTCTAAAGGTATCTGGGCCTCCAAGGTAGGTAGAGTAGCAGGCGAACAGACAATCACAGTGCGTCAAGGCGTCTCACCTCGCCAACCCTCCCAGTGTTTATCCCGTTTTCAGTGACACGCAGGGTATTCCGCTCGATACCCTGAGTTCGAACCTCGAACCGCCGAGGGGAGGGTGGTGGCACAGGGAAAAACTCAATTCAACCCCGGGCTCCTCTAAATCCTACCAGCCAACCTCACCGTGAAGGATTGAAGTGAGGCTTGAGGGCCAGGCTTGAGCCCTTGACCCAACCCAACCAAACCAAACAAAACAAACCATGCTCCCAACGTCGTATCGTCCACCCCCTTCACCAGACTTAGAAACGCGTTACAGATTCAAGCACCCATGCATCTCATCCCTCTCCATGTATGTACGGTACTGTACGGAGTGCGCACACTCTCCAATGCTCCATCTCACCCTCACTCGAAACCAACAGCGGTCCACCAGCTCCATGACGTCCGACACATCACCCACCGTCCGCCTTCCGCCCCCCGGCACATGCCCCCGGGGCTTCATTCCCGCCGTCCTCAATACCAACCCTCACCCGGCGACGAACACCCCGTGGCAGTGCCGTCCCGGCTGTGGCGCAGAACCTTTATTCAACTTTCCACCATCCCACATTCCATTCCTCCTTCCACGCCGCATTCATCCACTCAAGAAATTCGGCATCCTTTCATTCCCCTGGTATCCGCATTCCTCTCCCTCTCTCTCGTACCTGAAAACTGCACGCGAGCGGAAACGCCACTCCCGTCATCTGTTCCTCTCACCATCACATTCCCCTTCTCTCATTCCCATACGGACGAACTACGTACAAAGAAAATCCCCGGTACCCGTATCCTGTATATGATGCATCCCACCTTTCTAACCCCTTCACCCCTCCTCGCCGAATCAAGTTAGTCTCCGCTGACAAAATGGACCCCTTCTCGCCATTGATGATGGGGTTCTCTTTCCCGAGCTTTTGTTCCACAGCCTTTCTCGGGCAGGGGTGTAATCAAGAACATCCCCGCCTGCTTCCCTGGTAAATGGGAAGTGAAACGCTGTTTGCGAACATATCTTCCCCGTCGCTACAAATGACATTCCCCCCCTCTACGCCGTCTTCTCATGAGAAACCTCCTTCTCATCCGTATGGCAATTGAGACTCAGACAATGTCTCGTAGTTGATGTGCTTGTGAGGTTCTCGGATTGAGTATCGAAACAAACGTCATCACTAAGAACCAGTGTCGTGGCTTCTACGACCTTCTACCCCTCCAGATGAGGCTGAGTCTAGGAAGTGAAGATAAACTTACTTCGCATACTGTCATCCTATTTCGAATGCCTCATCACCTCATCCACGATCCCTGGTTTTGATGGTGCTTTCACTCGCAGAGGGTCCAGATGAGGGCGTCAATTCTAACCTCAGCCCATCTTGTGATGTGTCTCTCAATGTGCTTTTTTTCAATCGAATGTTGGGATATCCAAAACGATGCCGATTGTTTCTACATCTTTCTCAGTAAAGATGGGTCTGTACACGGCATCCAGAAGTTCCTCCTACAGCTACTCGCATGTAATTACTCCTCAAGTCACATCGCGCTCCCAAAATGAGACATCCAGTTAAAATTCATCATCGATCGTCAACGTACCAAAAGTCCATCCAACTAATGCGAATGCTTCAAACGATACCCTGGGATGCATTTCAACAATGCAGACGCCTCCTGGCCATGACCCAAAGTCTGCTTCCTAAACGACGAACGCAATGCAACAAGAAAGCCAGGTCCACCGCCTCGCGCGTCAGGGACTCAATTGAACTCGGAAAACAATCCGCTTAACCCATCCTCCTTGCCGCGATCCCACTCGCGCTTCTCCCCGGCCTTGGCCCACCGCACATCCCGCTCGTCCTTCTGCTCATCAGCCGTACCGCCCTCCCTCCACTTCTTCAGCATCACATCGGTGTACCCGGCCGCCCGCATCCGCTCCTCCTGGTTCTGCCGCCACTTCTGCCTGTCCCTGAACGCCTCCACGGCGTCATCCCAGTTCTCTCCCGGATGTTTGTCGTCGTCGGCCATCTCCACGTCAATTTTGGGGTTGTAGTCTGCTTCAAAGCGTTTGTCGATACCCGAGGCCCCCATGGCGGTGCCCCGGCCGCGCGAACGGACTTGCTGCGGTGGTTCCGGCCCAATGAATTCGTCCAACGGATCCGAGTCTGACGTTGTCGTCTGGGGCTCCTGCTCGTGCACTCGCCCTCCGTCGCGGCGACGGCTGCTGCCCTTGATCGAGAATCCTGACTGTGGCCTCTCCCGGCTCCGGTCTCTGCGTGACCGATGACTCTTCGACATTAGTTCCTGTCCTTCTTCGTCTCGTCTCCTTTCCCTATCATTTCGCCGGGACTTTGACGCATTCTCCCTATCCTCGATTGGCGACCGATGGCGGTGCCTCCTGTGCTTTTCGTCTGGTGAGCGTGACCTCCGCCGATCGCTCTTGTGTCGTCGACGGTCGTCCCGCTCCGAATCCGATTCGTCCCTTCTACTCCGGCGGTGTTTCCTAGCGCTCTCGCGTTCTGGAGATTCGCTCCTGCGTTCTTTGTGATGTGCTCTCCGCGGTGGCGAGCCTTCCTTCTTGTGCGACTTCTCTTTCGACGTTCCCGATCGACTGGGCCTGGCTATGTCCTTGCGGTCTCCTAAGATGGATAGGATATCTCCCATCTGTCTCTTTCGAATATCCTGTGGGCCTGCCTTTCTCCGCCTCTCCTTCTCCTCGGCATGTTCCAGATCCTTCAAGCGCGCGCGAGACTCTGCGGCCTCTTTGGCTAGGAGATTCTTGTTGTGCGTATTCGTATCCTTGATGATGTGGCGCAGGAAACGAGTGTTTGGTTTAGGCATATTTGCCGGTCTAAAGGGAGGATCCAATTAGATGGTGACGTGAGGGATCCGGGAGAGTCGTGGGACGTACTTCTTGTCTGCCCTGCCCGTGACTGCCTCTTTGGCGAGCAAGTCGGCGACGTAGTCGTCCGTGATCATGTCGTGGCTTGACATTGTGAGGCCTTGGTACCCAAATCGTAGATGCAAAAGGTGATGAGATGGCTACGCGCCTTCCGAGCACTTCTGATCAGGCTGATGGCTGTGGCATCCGGCAGCTAGATGGGGTATGTGCCTCTTTTTGTCGAGAATAGAAGAGAAGCGCGGGGGTTCTAGAAGTGCCGGTCTCGGATCGATGAAAGAATTCGAAAGTGACAGCGACAGGGCTCTTCAATGAGGCTATTGAATGAAGCGATGGAGAGGGACAGCGGGGGTTCGCTTAGTTGAGAGATGTCGTTGTCGCAAACTACGGCGTTTGGAGGATTGATCGACGACAACAGCAAAGGCCGCCAGAGTCACATCGACAAGGGACTTGGCGCGCAGTGGGACGAGCCTGCGCCATGCCTTCCGTTTTCCGCACGGCCAAGTAGCTTATCAGCAGATGATAAGGTAGCGAGTCAGAGATGGCGATAAGATAAAGATGTGACCTTACCCAATCTAGACCCAAGTAAACAAACGTCACAAAGGTGAAGCGCCCACCTTACCATTAGTTACCTTAATGACAGACCTTGAACGCTTGAGGGCAAAGAATTAACAACCGCGACAGGATCTCCCCCGCCGACATCATCTCCGACGCGCCAACGACGAAACTTGAATCGACAGCGCGCCTACTGGGGCCAAGATATACGACAACAACACAGCTAATCGGCCTTCCGAAAAATGGACGCGGGAAAGGCGGCCCAGGTGCTGCGCAAAATCGAAGACCTTAATGAGAACCATGAAGTCTCAATCATCCGACTCAGCGAACCCATCTCCAGCGCCGTCGCGCAAGAATCACGACAACGGACGTCAGACGCATCCAACGCATCCCAAGATGCCGCGACACCAGCCAGCCTAGAGGCCGACCTCGAGCACTACAAGGAGCTCTTCGCCAAGCTGCGGTTCTCCTACGTGGAGCAAGTCACGAAAGAAAAGTTCATACGCGCCATCGTTGGCGATCCGCCCGTCATCGTCACGCCGCAGGAGAATCTGGAGCTGGAGAAGGCGAACCTCGAGGCCAAGGCGCAACTCAAGGCTCTCAAGGTGGAGGTCGCAGACATGGTGACGGAGCTGGAGAGGAAGGGCAAGGAGCTGGCGAAGCGGTACGACAACGTGTCGCTGGACACAACGAAGCTGAGGGAGCTGCCCGACAAAATTTCCGAGTTGGAGGAGCAGGTGGCGGAGCTCAAAGAATCGCAAGCACCGGGGCAGAGCCCGATGATGAACCTGCCTCTCGCGAGGACCCTCGAACTGGTGGACGAGAAGAAGAGGCAGCAGCAGCAGTTGGATCGCGAGCTGGAGCAGTTGCAGGCCAAGGTGCCGCGCAAGAGAAAGGAGTTGGAAAGGCTGCAGGCTGAGTTGATGCCCTTGGAGGCCAAGAGGCAGAACAGCACGGCAGCTGCTAAGGAGGCGCGAAGGCGGAAGGATAGAGCCGGCGGTGATGCAGACGACCTCGAGGAGCGGGGCCGCTGGTTGAGAGCCAGCGAGGCGGCGCTCAAGCAGATGTTGGATATCCAGGGCTGAGAGGGAGTTGGTACAACGGGCGGATGGCAAGACGGTGGACGACGTGATGATTTTGTATACCCGCACACAGCAGGCCCGGTCATGGGTTAGGAAACGGCGTTCCCAGGCGTTTGGAGATGACATGAATTCACGGACTCACTTCTACTGATACACGGTTGCTCGATTTAATGGCGCCAAGTAATGCCATCACTTGATGGTGAAACTCGGCTGCATCTCTTGCCTGCCTCTCATCCTCATCGCTTCCCTGAGTGCCATTTGCCGTATTATATAGTCGCTGACACACGACACGAGAAGCATCCGCTGCAGTCTCAAAAAGACGAAATAGCCTCAAATGGGGCTGTCCAGGGGTTTGTCACCAGTCAAAAAAAAGGATGGATTGGCGGCTGGATAACAAGACCCACCAAAATTTGAAGACAGGGATGCTGCGGCGGTGCACAGGCAGGTCGAGTCCCTTTAGCTGGCCGGGGAAGGTGTTGATTGGACGAAGATCGAACCCTTGGTCACGTGTAGTGCCATCCACGAATTTTCAGAGTGGCCGAATGGGTAGGCCCCACCAAGCCCAATCCTCTCGCTTAGGTCACGCACCACGAAATTTGACAATCGAGCGTCTTTCTCGATTGATTCCTCCGCGAACCAACTAACCGACCAGCAACCACCGAACACCATCGTCGACCACCGAATACCGCCAAGATGAGTACGTTTTAGCCGCCGCCGTCGTCGCCATCGTCTTCGCGACGAAAGGTTGACCATTTCACGCCGTTCCGATGGACTGACCGATGTTATTTTTTCTTGTATAGCGAAGGGTACCTCCTCGTTTGGTAAGAGACACAACAAGACGCACACCTTGTGCCGTCGTTGCGGTAAGTGGCATCTACATGGGAGAGAGTCGAGTTCTGGTTTAACTAGGACGCGACTACTTCCAAAATTCGAGACTCGATGCGGGTTCAAGAGACTGATCAATGTTCGTGTGTTTTCAGGTCGCCGATCGCTTCACATCCAGAAGCACACCTGCTCTTCCTGCGGTTACCCCTCGGCCAAGACCCGCAAGTGTACGTTTTATCCTCCCGAACGACGAACCCAATCCGAGTCCCCAGACATAATCAACATACCAATCCCTTGAGATGATCTCAATTCCACGCAACATCTTCTACGTCTACCCAATACACGCAGCAACCACACAAGAACCATGAACCGAGAAAGATGAAGACGAGTTACTGACGTAGGATGCGATTTACAGACAACTGGTCCGAGAAGGCCAAGCGGAGAAAGACCGTCGGCACCGGCCGCATGCGCTACATGAAGGACGTCTCCCGCCGCTTCAAGAACGGCTTCCAGTCCGGTGTCCCCAAGGGTTCCGCCGGCCCCACCGCGCAGGAGTCGTGAGCGATGATTGGAATGTGATTCGGGTCGACATGGGGAGGTATCTGTGCAATCGAGGGCATTCGGGCGATGGGGGAATGAAAAACTGAGATCGAGGCGGGGGGCCAGGGAAGGCGTGGCAACGCCGCCGGAGTCTTGTCTACTCGGGAAACGATATCACGAAAAGAAAACAAGGGAAAAATCAGCTCCTTTCTTTCTTCTGCTTTCTTCCCTCCCCCTCTGTCTCTCTCACCCCTCCCCTCGTTTTTTGACTCGGAAGCAAAGCCAATATCAAAAAAAGAGTCAAAACAAAACCAAAGCATTTGGCCAAAAATCGAAACGGGTGTTTTTACGTCTTATGTTATCTCGCGCGCGGGCTCTTCAAGGGGATAAACTCACTTTTTTTTACACAAGGGAAAAACGGATCCTGAGGGAAAAGAGAAATGACTTTGCTTGTCTTGTTCACTCACTGATCCCATGCGCAACTGGATAATGGTGAATGGTCGATTAATGGGGGATTTCAGAGATGAAAAACATCGTACTTTGACGTGACAGATTGGATATCCCCTCATCGTGAGATGATTGCTTGCATTCGAAGGGTATATCATATCCCGATTCCAAACCCGCAGCAACCCCTCCAAGCCCTCTTCGAAGGATGAACAGCCTGACCGCAACACAATGGGTGGTGACATTCAACTTCAACCCTTCCTACACTCCATCACTGTCCCCTCCCAAACACCTTGACGCTCCCATCCCCACCAACAAAGTACAACAGTTCCGTCTCCTCGACCGCCCTGTCCTCTTCGCCGCCCCCTCCAGCCGTGACCCTCAACACCCCGCTGACGTCGCTCGCGTTGCCCGTGTCAAGCAGCCTCAGACCAATCACCGTCTCTGCGGCATGCGCCAGCCCGAGAACGAGACTCGCGTGCTCCTTCTCCAGCGTCGTGGTCTGCGCCGCGATGAGGGGCTCGTCTGCGGCAACGGTGATGATGGAGGCGTGTACTTTCTGGATGATGTGTCAGTGAAGGACCCTTACTTGATTTGAGAATGATGAAAAAAAGGTGGGAAGGATATCTCATCGTTGATGCAAAATAACTTGCACACAAAAGTTGCAAACGATACCTTCAGGGAGAGAAGAAAATGAGCCAGAAACTAAGTTAGTAAGCGTACGTACCTCTTGCACACCAAGCAACATATCCCTCAACGCAAGACCCGTGAGGTCCTCGCCAGACGCAGCGAGCAAGAGGTCCGGCTGGTCCACAATCAGAACCGTCTTCGCATCCGCCGCGGACACATCGGATATCGCGCCGTCGAGCTCGCGCTGGATATCAGCCAGCCTTGCCCCACGGATGGTCCTCCGACCCTTGGGCGTCGTCGTCGGCGGCGCCTGATGAGGGGAGGAAAACAGCCCACTCAGCCCGTCCACGAAGACGAATTTGCCGCTTCTTCCCAATCCTTCTAGATCGAGGCCCTGTGGTGCATGATTAGCATTTTTTCCAATTAGATTCCAATCGTGTTGGGTGCAGGCAAGAAAAATGAGTGGTGTAGTGAAAAATATCATTGAAAATCTCATCGAATGGAGGGGTTGAAATTTCCAGTGAGGGGCATTTCACGTCAAGTAGCAAGCAAACATACCAATCTCCCAGCGCCTTCCTTCCAAAACGCAAAATCTCTCATGAAGCTCACAAGAACGACGCGGACGTCCTCGCTCTGCGATGCGGAACCGGCCCCTTCCTCACCAGCGGCGTTGACTTTCCTGAGATACGTGTACAGGTACCGCAGGACGAGCCAGTTGGTGCTGGCGCCGAGGACGCTGGTGAGGAGGATCTGAGCGTACTCGGACGGGAGGGCGAGGTAGCTCTCCAGCAGGTGCGGTATCCTCGTCGCCATTCTCTAATTTGCGTATGCTCTTATGTGTAAATGTTGTATGAGAGACGGATGCTTGGTTGGTATGTTCATGTAAGTGAGGGCCTCACTTAAAGTCAGTAGAGTCATTGTGCTATTTTCCGCTGCGTCTGGGTGTGGTGGGGCTCCTTTGGCAGTGTCGAGAGTGATTGGCACTGTGTTGGACTGGACCTCTTAGCAAAGCTGACTCT